TATCGTTTCTATGAAATACGGGTTCGATGAATTACTGATTCTATAAAATACGGATCTGATGAATTACCGTTTCTATAAAATACGGGGTTGACAAATTACTGATTCTATGAAATACGGATATGATGAATTAACGTTTTGATAAAATACGGGTTTGATGAATTACTGTTTTTATAAAATACGAATCTGATGAATTACCGATTCTACGAAATTCGGTTATGATGGATTATTGGTTTGATGAAATACGGTTCTGGCGAATTACGGTTTCTACAAATTACGGTTTCGCTGAAATACAAATTCGATAAGTGTTCACTCTGATAGATTGATGTTTTGATGAAATACGGATCTGAAGAATTGCCGTTTTGATGCTCAACAGGTTCTATACGATATTGTCTCGATATAATACGATTTTGATGATTTACTGTTTCGATGGAATACGGTTATGATGGATTACCAATTCTAAAAAATAAGCTATGATGTTTTACTTCACTATGAAGTACATTTCTTCGTTTAACTGTATGATGAGATACATTATGATCTCTTATATTTTGATTAATTATTGGTTCTATGAAGTACAGTTTCTACAGAATGCCATTATGATAGAATTCGATTTGATGAAATACGGTTTTGATACAATACGATCTGACGAAATATATGTACCCCGTTTGCATTGGTTGCATCTTATGCAGAATATTCAATCTACTGTCTTGGAGGTTTTACTGTGATCCTCAAAACATTCCACGCAAAACAATTGTTTGTCAGTATCTTGCTTGGCTGATTCAGGGTTTTGGTTTTTCTTCAAATCGGATAAGGGAATCTCATCTTCGCTGTCGGATGTGAAGTTATTCGATGTTCTATGATCGGTAAAATATAAAATTATGCTATTTCATTATTGAACCTTTTGTGGCATCTATCCATATCAAAGAGTTCGGCATCTCTCCTTTTTGATATGGATAGATGCCTCACCAGTCTACGCCTGCGCCTTATGACTCTGTAGCCGAGAATACAAAACAAAATTCTTGAATATGTCCTATATAACGCTAAAAAAGTCAAATCATCCCATTTTGTAATTTTGAACTCTCTTCCCCAATACTATTAACAACATAGAAATAAATATTGAGCAATAAAAGTACATATTAGCAACTTTATTTCCACAATTCAAGTCGAACACTTGCTCAATCGGAGCTTCCACCGCATGCAAAACAATAATGGCCGAATAGCTCTTCAGGTGTACATAGTTTTCGCGTCACTTGGTATGCGGCATCTATCCCCCCGCGGCATCTATCCGTACTATACCCTATTCGAAAAAGCTCAATTCTGAACACTCTTTATCTTCGTTATCTATTCCGCTAGACCCCAATTCTGATGTACAGGGTGGGCCAAATTGGACACTTTCAATGGGAAATTCCTATTTCTGAACTAGATGGGCGAAAACTGATGTCGGTGTCTGATAGTAAATTTTCATGATAAACTTGATAGTGAAAACCGCACATCGATATCTATTATCGTCTCTGAGTTACAGCATGTTTTCCGAAAATGTGCATTTTCGAAAACTTGCTGTAACTTTTTTCCTGTCAAAAATCTGTTGTATTTATGAAAACATTTCCAGAGCAATGGATTGAGTTATTTATTTTTTCAAAGTATTTATCGATAGTTTATAAAAGAAACAATATTTTTGTCTAATGGGACACCCTGTATATTTCTGCATATTCGAATAGAGCTTGAAATTGCCATTACAAAAATATAGCACACTTGATATTTTATTGAGGTCATTCTTGAAATGCGGAGTTTTTTTGGTTTTCACACCTAAACTTTGAAACGCACATCTTGAACAAGTTAGTAGGCTTTGGATGACGCAGTGATAAAACAGAAATCGAATGTTCACTGTGCTGTCAAATTCTGATTAAAGTAATATCAGAACAGTAAAGGCGTTCCACAATTCGTGGTTTTCGTTCAATTCACACAAACACATTTTCAATGAAGTTTGGAAATTATAAAAAATGGGATATGATAGTCTGTTTTATACAAACCAGAGAAAATGCAGAAGCAGCAATAAGCGATTTGTACCACAAGAGGTATTCAGAGAAAAGACAACCATTCAGAGATATTTATCCGAGATTGCGACGCAACCTAATTGATGATGATCAATTCGAGAAGAAAAGGCCAAAAGTATATGAACCAGTGATGCAGAGTTCTGCTTTTCTCACTCCCATTGAACTAATCAATGCGGCAAGACATGTTCAGAAAAGATGCCGCCTGTGAGTAGGAGAAGCTGGTAGATATTTCGAACACCTTCTATTTTGTTCTAGTTCGTTCTTTATTATTGTTTATGAAGTTTATTCATCATTTTTTAATATGGTAAGAATTGTTTTCACTTCAGCTGTGTTGAAAAGAACAGCTTTTTTTTTAAATTTGACGGCTTTGGAATTTCTTGCCAATGGAAGTATTCCCAAAAACTTATAACGTTCAAAAGTTCAAAGAAAACTCCAACACCTACCTCCTCTCCCTATCTTCCCTAGGAACGCACGATGCTCCACGATCACTATAGAAATTTCCTTTCGTGCGCTTCAAGAGATGAAAACAATTCGCCTTCTCTTTTATCGCCGCATCTAAAAACTAAAAAGCACTGTATTTCAAAAATGACATCAATGAAATATCAAGTGTGCTTTATTTTTGGAATGATTATTTCAAGCTCTATAGAAATATGCAGAAATATACAGGGTGTCCCATTTGAAAAAAATATTTTTTCGTTATTAACTATCAATGGGCTTATATCACAAAAAAATTTTATTTCATAATTCGATAGAACTCACCCAAACTAGCTCACCACCGCAAACCGTTTCTTGCTGTGAGCTCCCTACGTTTTATAAAAAATTATTGAAATCCCCGATTTTTCGGACCTCTGAAAACGAGGCGATGATGTGACGTCAAAACCCTAATACTGAAAAAAGACTATTCCAGACAGAGATGAATGATACATGATTTCTGACAAATCAATTCTAACCTAGATTGACTTTTTGCAGCTCCATGTGAAACGGGTCAACAAAGCAATGTTGCTATGTTTATGAAATATATTGGATTATTGAGAAATTGTTATGGTGCAAATGGTATTGAGATTGAGACATTTCGATATCGATTTCGATTTCTCGGATATTTTGTTTGGGTAATAAGTGTCAGGAGAGTGCCAGTTTCAACCATATATCTACTATTTCTATATATGGCGCATCGCCTATAAGATATCTCAACGAAAATGGGACCAAAATGAGAGGTACTCTTTGAATCTATGAGAACGAAAAGTGAAGGATGGAAACAGCCATATTGGTTTGACAAATTTCCTATTATTTTTTCCCTACGTCGGTATCAACGCCTATTGGTCGATTTCATTACCTATAGAGACAGAAATGGGTCCCGCTTTGAGGAGAGCTATGATTCATATATCAGTAGTAGATATATATGGTTTATATATATATATATGGCGAGATGGGGTTTCTACGTCATAAGAGGGTCTCCGTTTTCAGAAGGTAGGTACTATCATTTATGTCCAAAAATAAAACATTCCAGTTAATTTTTCGATTGAATTATGTCGTCAATCATTATTTATGTATAAAAGGATCATTATAAACATGGTTTGAGTTAAAAGTTCTACTAAGGTGTACACGCCCATTGTATATACTTTGAGAAAATGAATCACTCATACATTGTCTACGTGAAAAAGTGCTTTGAGAATGTTTTCATAGGAACAACAAATTTTCGACAGGAAAAAAGTTACAGCAAGTTTTCGAAAATGAACATTTTTGAAAAACATGCTGTAACTCAGGAACGATGACAGATATCGATGTGCAGTTTCCACCATTGAGTTTTTCATAAAAATTGACCACCAGACACTGATATCAGTTTCCGTCAATATATTTTGGAAATAGGACTTTCAGCTTTCAGATCAGCTATTGAAGAAGAATCTAAAAATGATATAATATGCATGGTTTTCTTCTTGACCAATTTCATCATCAGCCTTTATCTTGGACATCGAAAATCCTATAGATATAAAAAAAATGCATGTGATATTTCTCATGAAACCTTATGATTGTTGTATTTGAATCCCTTCTATTTATCTGACGGTATGGCTAATATCGATAAAATACAAACCATGGACTCACCCTGTGAATCAGATTCATTCCATATGTATGAATCAATGCATATGGAAGTAAGAGTTTTTTTACACTCAAGAGATGACATTATTCATATTCCTCCGAAAACTGGATGGATAATTTTGAGATGTTATTGCAGATTCTGTGAAAAATACGGGTGGTGAACCACTATGTCCAATCCCGATGAAATTTTTTCAATCTTGACCCAATATTCCTATTCTCGCGATGCAAATGTCCAATCCCTATCTGTATGTATATCTATAATATCTGTCCAATCCTACGTCCAATCTGTCCAATCCGTGTACTTTTATGGGATAGTGATTAACCTCTCGAGAAAATATCAGAAGAGGTCAATAAGTTTAGTTTACGAATGACAAAAAGTTGAATTTGTTGGAACGGCTTCACGACCTTCAGTTATATCCGTTAATGACTGAATATTGTCCTGAAAAAGACGTCATTATGACGAAATTTTACTTAGTCGTGCTACCTAGGATTGGGTGACCAAAAATGAGTGCTCAATAAAGAAATTATAGAAAATTGGTTTCATATTATTCGGAGATATAATTTGATGTTTTGCCATGAAATAGATCGACTGCTTCTGCTGAATTCTTAGCATCGCTAGGCTATAAACTATCAGCTGTGGCAGTCAATCTTCTTCATATGACTTTCTTCGTAATTTTGTAATCATAAATGACATCTTTCAAAAACAACTCCGCGGTGTTACCAGATATACAAATTACATTACACAGACTGACTTTTTAAATCCTAAATACCTACATCATTTCATGATTTTCTCATGATTTCAACATCCCATATATAATTATTTTTTGCACACTCCTAGTTTCATCACAAACTCACCCTTGGATATACTTTCAATACGTCGATTTTCGATTTGTATATATATTCTTCTCCTGCTTTGAGGTCGCATCCAACCTTCGTCGCACCGTCTGTCTTGTAAATATTATCACAAGCACTTTCTCCATCTACGCCGACGAATGGAAAGGGTATTCCGAGAATGTTGGCACTGACTGTGTTCTTCAATTGCTTGATCTGATGATCTGAAAATAAAATACAGAGATGATACGTAGAACCTTTTTCTCTCATTATTCAAAATTATCATCAAGTTGTTCTCCTCTGAAACTTAGATGGAGAAGTGAGGAACGAGGAGAATTATCTTATAAAACAGATCAGCTCCAATCTCCAACTGCAAATGTTGATATGAATTACGAATCACATGATTGCGAATGCGTTTGGAAGAATTAGAATGGCCAAAAAGAGATGAAACAGTGTATCACAAGAGTCAGTATGACACCTCCTTCAATTTCCACGTGATCAGAAAACGGGTGACTCGATTTGTTTCAAGACAGTAAGCCGCTTTCCACCAACGTTGACAGTTTTTAGAGGACTCACTTGGAATTACAATCTAGGGCAGTATTTCAAATGTTTTTTTTTTTTCAATTTTTGATTGGAGAAAACTGGAGAATCATAAATGGCACATGATCGATTACATGAAAATCACTTATTTCTATAGACTGATTTTATGTTCAATATATATCTCAAATGAAGCAATTTCGAGGAGAATGACAGATTTAGTCGATGCTTTCTCACCTTTAACTATCATTTTACCAACACATATAGATTGTGCATGAGTGTACTGGGTGTAGTATATCATATCTTTGGATATGACACAAAATATTCGATTTTTGCATTAGGCGCTGTTGGCGTCTATCAATCCTTTACATCACTGCCTTGTGGAACGTGCTTATATCACTGACCGGCTATCACAGACATGTGCAAATACTGGTTCATCAGTGCTCGACGTTTGGCTGAGCTTCGAACAAGCATAACCCTTCTTATATTTTGTGATATTGTTCGTGTTCGTGTTCATTGAACTGTGATCATAACCGTACATCAGAAGTGTGGATGAATTACCCAGTGCCTTGGTGAAGTGACAAGAGGCAATTTTTTCGACGATTCCACTGCAAAACAGATAGCCATGCATGTTTATTCTTCTCACGTGATGTAATAACAGCGTTAGTATGTTTCAATTGAACTGTGAGTACAATACTTGTTCGTGATGAGTGAGAGTTAATGGAGTGTTTGATTCAAAATATCGAAGTAACTACCTTCTACTTTCTGGAATGAGTGGTTGGTGAAACTATTCCAGAACGATAAAGCGGACGAAGATGTGGAAATACTGCTGGAGAAGCTCTTGACGCTGAGTTTCGAACCTCCGAAAGATGTTCAAACCAGTTTCGAAACCATTGCCCAGAATTCTTCAGAAGAGTTTATCCCAATTATAGAGTACTGGGAGAATGATTATGTAGGACGACGACTACTCAAATATAATCCTCGTTATCCAATTCGATCATGGAATATGTATGAAGTGTGAAGGAGAAACTTCCAAGGACCAATGATTCCCTAGAAGCATGACATAATGCATTACAGGAATCTATCGACTGTCACCATCCGTCTATTCACAAATTCATGAAATTCATCAAGGGTGAACAGAATAGCTCCAAGATATTTGTATCGCAATGTACGGCTTCAGGCAATTAGAATAAAATAAGAATAGAATAGAATAGAATTTTATTTTGTCCACTGAATGTCACAATACAGGTAAGTACAATACATTATGGAACACTTCAAGAGTCATAGTTCCAAATACGTCCTAAGATTACGTTTTCTTGTAATCGATTATAATGAACCTAATGTCAAGGAATATTCAGGAAGTATCGCACTCAATTTGTGTCCGAAAACTATCTGGATCGAATAAATGTGTTAATATAATTATGAATATTATTGTATCAGAACTTCTGGGAACTGGATTGTCTGTCGCTGTTTTGTCAGTCGCTATTTTGTCCTGTCGCTATTTTGTCTATGGCTATTTTGTCTATCGCTATCTTATCTTGTCGCTGTTTTGGGCTCGCTATTTTGTCCGTCACTTTTTTGACCATCGCTGTTTCGTCCCAGAGTCGAATGTGAGATATATCATGTGGATCATTCAAGGAGAACGACTTGATTTATTATTCTTCTGTTTCTTCAAAAGGAATATATATATGGTTCAGAGATCATCGATATCTGTTCTCCTGTTTATCGTTTTTTCATTTTCATTGATATGCACCATAACCCGGGCCAGGTAGCCGTGCGGACAGAGTGTCAGTATTCTAATCCGGTTCGCTTCGGTCGTAAATTCAATTCCCAGCGACTGCAGAAATTTTTCTGATGGCCCAAGAAAGTGTTGGAGATCACACGTTATAAGGTAAGGCCCCCGTTATTCCTTGCTCGCACAAGGCTCTCGATGACTTCTGAGGGTTGCCCGTCAGGGGGCAAGCGAATGACGTATAGAACAATTGAAACAACAATTACAAGCAATAGGTTCAGATGTTTATGTCGTATAACCTGTTTAGTCAGGCTACATGATTTCATATTCCTTCTTCAATCACTTTTGTTTGAAATGATTCTGTCTTTGGATATTCCACAAGATAGACCAGTGTATGCTGGATTATAATCATCGCAAGGAATTCCATAAATGAAATTCGATCTATTCTTGACTGATACAGGAGTTCTCAATTTGGTATGAAGGTGAAATATTATTTCGAAATTTGTTTCCGCGAATTGATATTTGTGTTATTTTCAAAAACAATGATTAATTTTGGAGTTGGATGAGAAATGTGTGGTGAAGATTCGAATATTAAAATTCGATTATACCTTGGTGAGTGAAGAAAAGCATTAGATGAACTCAATATAATCTTGTTGACTGATGATTTTGGATAAGAATTCTCGAACAGAATCAATTATTTCTCAGTTGTATTGGTGACTTTTCTAATACTATTCTTGAAACTACGTATCAAGCTGACTTTTATTTTCATTAGACATAGGGTGCTATCGATATCTTCTGTGAGTGCAATTATCAGTTCGAACAAGATATGAACAAGGCTCTTCTTTGCTCTTGCTCTTCTTTGTTCTCTCAACAATGACGCCATATTTCCTCAAATCTCTGGTTCAATCAGAAACAATCGTTTTCGATTTTGAAAAATCTTCATGTTCGTATCTCACAAAAAACATCACTTCGGCAGAAGTCAATTCACATTCTGAATTGATCGATACGACATTCAAGCAATATTGATATCATCATTTTCTTCAAGTAATGACTTGGCAATTTCAACAGCTGCATCTATACATTCATTGGATTGAGAGAACTAAAGATCAACTGCCACCTCCTGCCATGGTTCAGGTTGAATTGTATCTGTAACAAATGTTTCCTTCATATTTTTTCATTCCCCATACATTTTGAACAAGAGCGTACCATATTTTCTATATCTGAGGAAAGACCAACCCACCAAACAGACATTTTCGCCCGCTCACGACATTTTGAAATACTCTGATGACCTGAATGAATGTATTCAAGATTTGTTTGTTGTAGACTCGTCGAAATAATAATTCTACTTCCTTTGAGGAGAACATCTTCAAAACACGAAATATCATATCTATATCGATAATATGGGATGCAGATTGTTCCAGCTTTTGACAAACGACATCTGAATTTTGTTCTTTGATAAATTATGAAATGGAACTATCAGTTTCAGGAAATGGATTCGAAACAACCATCCTAACATGAGCCCCAGATTCAGCAGCTAGTTTTTCAGATTCAGTATTTACTGTAAGAGGACTTCTAAATAGAGCATCTTCAAGGAATGAATTTGAAGTTGAAGATGCTCTGCGTGATGAGTTGATAGAATGATCACTTGATAATTGTACCTCATTAGTCGTATAGGCAATCTCTGAAGCAGAGGTGTGAGATTATAAGAATTCTAGTTTGCAAAATTTGCAATGATGGCTTGTGATCAGTTTCTTAAGTGGATAGTATGCCGATCAAACACTCTCAAAATTCCTCACATGACCAAGTTACACTCAAAGCTTCAAGTACTATTATCTTCGTTGATTTTCATCAAGTTACCACCAAGATAATATGAAGAAGCATCTCTGCACTGATGACAATTGTACCAGAAGGGTCATAATGAGCTAGACATGATGCTTGAGAGAGTAATATTTTTATTGATTTTATTGAAGGAACCATCCTGAGGACTGTCTCATATGAAAACAACGTCGTTCTTCAAGAAAGAGATAAATGGTGCTGAAATTTCAAATTCATTAGGAATAAAACGATCAGCAGAATTGATCATTCCAAATGTTGTTCTTCTTCTTCATTTGATGAACGTGAAAACTTGACTATTGCTTCATCAAGATGAATAATTATAATACTCTCAACACCTGAAAATGATCTAGAAAATATCTTACTGAAATATTCAGATGCACAGAAATGCCAGAAGTAAGTCTTTTGAACATATATCTTCAAAAAGGAGTTATGAGAGTTGTGAATGACTAAGACTCTGCAAATGATTTTATTTCATAAAAACCTCAAGAGGCATCTAACTTTGAGAATAATTTTGAACCTTTGAGCATGGGCAATGAAGTTTTTACATTTGGAATTAGGAAATGACCCTTTGAAACATTTTTGTTTAGTGCAGTACAATCACAACGAAGACGCACAGAATCTCCTTTAGGAATTATTGAAGCTGCTCACGTGGTCGCTCCAGGAACTGGTACTATTATATCCAAATTCAAGACTCCATTTATTCCTCTTTTGAGTTTGACCTTGAGAGGAATAAAAACTGTTTTAGGTGTAGACTGAAAGATGGGTCTCGCAATAGACTCAACCTGTATACACGTTTCATCATTGAATGTTCTGATTTCGTTAAATACCAGGTGAATCTGTGAGTGAGTTTTTTTTTACAGAATATATATCAAATCAAAATAAGTTGTTAGGCAAAACATTGCTCACATGGAATATTCAAGATAACGGTGGTACAGGTATTCAATGATTTGAGGAAGACTCCAAATATGAAACATTCTGTTTACATCTTCTCAAAAAAAAACACAAATAAGCCGTTATTAGTTCAGCATTAGATACCCTACAGTTGCATTATTTTTTTGGAAACACTAATCAGAAACCGCAATTCACATTTTCAACCAATATCAATTATTGTTTCAAAGT